AAGAGGAGGCCCAGACGCCTCTCGTCGACTTCGGCGGTCCTCAGGCGCTCCTCATCTCGGACCTGCAAGAGGAGGAGCTCCGCCTTCTGCTGCGTGATCAGCAGATCCCGGGCCCTCGCCTCGGAGGCGGCCAGGAAGGCCTTGGAGCTGCCCAAGTCGCTAAGCCCGCTGAGCTCCTGAAGGAGCTCCCCTCCGACCTCAAGCTCCTCCATTAGTAAGGCGGCCTTACTCTCGGCTCTCTCTTTCTCATCGCTCAAGTGAGAGGTGCCCTGCAAATCGCTCAGCTCGGCATACTCGTGAAGGTTGGAGGTCGATCCGAAGGTGGAGCCCACTTGGGCATTCTGCTTGGCTGCGAAGCTGATGCTCAACCTCTTGAAATGGGGACCACCATGGCAATCGAAGAAATCGCTCAGGCGCAGCTGCGAGAGTTGACTCTTCAAGCGATGGTTCCGAATGATGTCTGCCTGCATCAGCCATGCCGCAGATGAGCCCCACTCTTGCCTTAGCTGCTTTCGACTATAAGAACCTTCAACAAGCGAAGGACCTAGCAAGGAAAGAGCAGGCCAGCGGCGCAGTGATCTGCAAAGCCGGACAGCTTGCCACTGTCGAAGTGCTGATGTTAAAGTGGCCAGCATCCAAGTCATCGGCTGCTTCTGCCCGAGTCTCTTGGGGCCTCTCCACTGGCTTCTGAACTCGTGCGCTCTGCGGGGCCGGTAAGGAAAGCCGGACGCCAGGCTCTGCCTTGGTGCCGATCGCTGCCCGAGCTGTCTGTTGCTTTGGCGCCTCTCTTGGACCAAGCTTGAGGCTCGGTAAGAATCCCTGCTGCCCCTTACTCATGGCTGGTCATGAGCTGGTCATTGAGCCGTTTTAGCTCATGACCTGCAGCTCTCGGCTTCCACGCCAACTACCGCCAACCATGGAAGTCTTAGCCTATCCATCTTGGACCCCAGCGCTTCTGTCTGGTTCAGTGTGCTGGTCTGTTGCGTCTCTGCTCTTCCTCGCCTGGAGCCGTCAAGTCGCGTCAAGAGCATCAACTCGCCCGTTCACTGCCAGAGCCCTAATCCCTGATGCCGATCACACAAAGGCTGCAACCGACCAGCTCGCGCACTGTGGGCGCCCAAGACACTCCGAAGCTGACGCCACATGCTCAAGCTCGCATGCTGGACGATTGTGTGGGCTTCCTCCGCTGGCTGCAACAACTCGAGGAAGATCTGCCGAGTTTGGGAGGTGCAGGCGGGACAGGGGAGAGGGAAGCCGAAAGGATTCGGAATTTTGGTGAGCACTCTTCGTCTTGGATTACCCCCAGGATTTCTTTCTGCCCGTACTGGGCATACACCTTCGGGAAAGTCTGGCTGCTCTACAAAGGCCAATCCTGAGGTACGAAGCCCTGAGCTTTCCATAAGCTAAAGAATCTAAAGACCACCACGGGACCTCTGAAGCCTCACCCGCCCGAGTCGAGAAATCTACGGGGGCTTCCGCATGCAGCCCCAACAGATGCAGTCAGAGTATCAGGGAATGCAGCACCTCACTAATGGCCATGATCTCCCTGCTGCGACCTGAGGAAGCTGCTGCATCTGTTACAGAAGTTTCTGACAGCGTTCTCGCCTCCTGACCTGCGCCTTCTTTTCTTCTTTCAGGGTCTGCAGGTCTGCATGTCAACGTAGTCATGCTTCGACCGTGGTAGTGCGTCCAAGAGCTGTGCAGCTTGAAGTGGCTGCTATGCTCAAACCCCGTCCCCTTGTGCATTGCATGCAAGAGTCCAATTCCAACCACTCCACATCAATGAACGATGAAATCCCAGTTTACGCTGCCAACGCTGCCGCCACTGACTCACAACCGCACAAGGCGCGCCGCCAAAACCCTCCCAAAACCTATCTATCGACCATGGGAATACAGCTACAGAAAGCAAAGGCGAGCAGACCTACCTTGGCCTAGGCCTGCAGTAAACTTGGCATGTAAGGGGATGGCTCTGTGCCACTTGCCATCGCAGCGTGCGAGTCCTTCAAAGCGCACACCCAGCCCAGATGCAAAACTTTGATTGATCTGTCATCGCCTGGGAACATGAGTTTCCGGGACGGTGATCCAGGAGCCTGTTGTGGGGACCTTACTCCAGTGACAAGCTTGCACGGCTCGAACGATCGCTCCCTAAATGTCATGACTTGAACAGAGCCCATCGCGTCGCGCCCAGCAGCGCACCCGCCATAGGCAATGCCGCCCACTCCGACTGCATCTGGTGCTCCGAACCTCTCCCACCATCAATGGCAATGATAGACCGGTTTGCATCCTGTAAGAAGCTCAAACTGTTGGAAAGAGAGAGACCCCTCTCAAATCCCTAACATGGTGTGGTTGCAGCACATGCAACACTCTGCTAAACACTTCAGGCGCCGAATCACCGAGACCCGTGCATGACATATCCGTCGTGCGTGGGGTCCAGCAGCTCATCCTCGGCACCGAAAGGCATGTAGCTGACATGCAGTGAATTGCAGTGATGACAGACATTCTGTTGGTCGCATCAAACCCGCAAAATCTGCAGACATCTTGCAAGATCCAGGCCGTATCATCGAACTCGATGAGTGCATGTGCATTCACGTCGGGATTGTTTCCCAGCACGGGCCTAGGATTGAAGGTGAGTGTGCGTGACAAAGTCTCAGCACTGTCGCATGGAACTGTACGGCATGGGAAAGAGCAATGAAACCACTTGGCCCGGCACGATGATGCATTCAAGCAGTAGCGGAGATCACAGTTCCGAGCACTTTCGCGATAGTTGATGAGGTTGCAGAAGTCTTAGGTTGCACGAAACACTGATGCGAACCATGGCTGCAAGACAGTGACATGCGGAAACCACGGAAGGAAGGAAGCAGTCGGCACAGTAAGCAAGGGACGATTCTCCCTGCAAGCCTCCACGACTGCAAACTTCAACAACAAAGACATGTGAGAGGTCCGGAACTAGAAGTGGTTCTAGAGCGTGCCTGCTTGCAAGCCTCCAAGCTGTCACGGCCTTTGAGGCTTCAGGAGCCGTCTTTGGTGGAAAGGCTCTCTCTGTGTCTCCGTCCGTCTCCCTGTCTCCGTCCGCCTCTGTGTGTCCGTCCGTCTGTCTGGTCTCGGTCTGGTCTGTCTGGTCTGTCTGGTCTGT